CGATCAACAAAAGCTGCATCGTTAACAAGGCCTACTTCGTATAAATACCGGAACGCCTAACGATTTGACGAACAAACAAATTTTCTCGAATCTCCAAAAATCGAAGTCCACTATCATTCTATAAACAGTAATGGTAAAATATGGGCATGAAACAAAAATACGAGAATACAGCTTTTTGAATCTTTAAATATTCAACAGACTCCAGACGCTGCATGAGTTGCGCTTTCATAATGCAAGAAATTAGGTTATGATGGCGGTGCTAAGATCGTTAATTTTGCATCCGTAAACCTAATAAGTCGTCATACCGAATACTTAGACGCGCGTAAAATGTGGCTGTTCAATCACATGCATAGTTAACCTCAACCTTAAGAATACCGCCCAGAACAAAAAACCTTGAATCATCTTTCTTCTCTATTCTTTTCACAGGAGAAAGATTAAATGATGCCAAAAGTGCGATTTGAAGTTGGGGATTTTAACTTGGTCAGCCAGTAACAGTTCTTTTTTCTAACTGCGAAGAAATACAGTAAAAACAATTTCTAAACGTCAAAAATTTCGGTTACTATGCTGTCTAACCTCAGATGACGAAGATAAATAATAACAACACCTAGCAAAATAGGCTTACCCATCAGTTCTTCTGAAAAACTTCGCAGTGAATATTTTTCTGCTCTCCATACACTCTTGAATGCGGCTTATCTATAAGAAATTTGTTACTTCACTCTGGCAATGGACAGATGCAGAAGTAGCACTTTGGCTGCGAAGTATGTACGAACTAACGGCACGTAGTCACCCAAGGAATTTTCCATTGCCGGCAAAGGAAACCTGGTGGTGTGTTTGAATAGGCTGCAAAGTAGAACAAGATTCGTAAAGTTAGTACCTACCAAATGATAAAACACGGTTTCTACTAAATCGTTTACAAACCTCTATCAACAGATCCTAAGTTAAACATAAATCGTCTGAATTGGTCGGTGGCTTGAAACAAGTGAAAAGCAGTACCTCTGTGGTTAATGAGATAAACAGCATTTGCAGATTTTAGACACTTTTGTCATTAGGCAACATTTACTGCATCGTAGAAGAAAATATTCCTTCCCAAAAGCAGACTTGCCTTGACCTCTACGTGTTGTATGCTGGCCCCATGGACGACATCTGCCGTGTTTCGACTATCCGCGAGAAGCTTATTGATTGGAGTAAATAGTGCATAATCGCCCAGTTAATTTAACAAGACCAATCTCTTTTTCTAAATCTCCACTTTACTGAGATTACACCTGATCAGAAACGAATAAACACTTTACACGGCCCTGCAATTTAACCTTCATTACGCGTCGAAGCTAAGAAATGTTGGCGTACGTAGTTCAACCGCTGTTCTTAATCAAAACAACTACTTCCATGTCGTGTAACAGCGCTAACGTGAAAGAGGCAAGGTACAGGTAGATTTCGTGGGAAAGTACTTCTTTATCAGCTGAAATACTGCATAGGCTTCCAAAGCACTCTAGGACTGGGCTGAATCTTGCCGTCCCTAGAGATTATGGAGACAACATACGTAAACTAGTCAACATAAGAAGTCCACAGGAAAAGTCCTAATCACACTGGAAAACAGTACCCTACCGTGAAAATACAGCAAAATTCTTGGTTAATGAATTTTTAGAGTGCCTTTTTCTTACAGTATACTTGGATACTCACTAAATACAGCAATTTTTAAAAATTGGATCTTGCTGTATGAATTCGGTCATGACGGGATTTTACTAAATGCGCAAACGTTGAATCGTAATCTTACTGTATGAACAATTAGTCAGTTCCGCAACTACCCACTCAACGGCATTTTAAACTCTTAACTTGCTTAACTTCGAGGTCAATTAAGCAGCTTTTCTTAGTCAGAGGTCATTTGATATATTAGTAATAACTAACCAACTAACTAGATCATAAAAATATACTGACAAGTTGTCAACAGCAAGTAGAATTATGAAACAAATAACCAGCAGCTAATTACCTGATTGTAACTAAGCAACTTGTAATTATTAATTACACACTGACTAGCTGGTAACAACTACTGATTAGTTGGAAGTAGTTGGTTTGTTATTGTAGACTGTGCATTATGAAACAAATGATTATTAGTTAGCTGTATCATTGAGACCAATGTTTGCTACGCACGTATTAACCGCTGTGAGTAGAGCATTTTGACCA